TTAAAACCCCCCAAACCAGGCCCATGATCACCACTAATCCATCAACTTATTACTCAGTGAATGGATTAATACAGTCACTAGGCATAGTCCTCACACTCTTCAAGTCCAATCACCTCTTCAAGGCCCCACCTTTCAATTACCTTAATACAATTTCCCACCATCTTAACAGTCACAGTGGAGAACAAGCTACTAATATATAAAACTTGGGAAGCACAATCCATATTAGTATCTGAGATAAGACATATAGATCCTTAAGACATTTTATTTCACTTGCTATTCACTAGTGTACCTGATACCTGGTCATTTTTACTCATTTTCCTAAGCAACATGTCTTCATTTTCTCAGTATAGAAACTACCTTCAACTTTATATGTTTTGTAGGTCATTCTAATAGTCTAACCTCTGCCAATAGCTTCAACTTGGTTGAGAAGTTTGGGATTTTTAAATTAGCTCTGCTATCTTTTTTTGTCTCTTAGTTCCTGTATTAGGATCCAACAGAATATCTTACAAAATATAAGTAGCTGCCAACTGTGGTAGTGTGGTCTATAAATATGATTTGTCTCCCCTGACTCTAACTTTCTCCCTTTCCCCCTGCCTTACATGGAGTCTAAGTAAAAAGTATTTGAAGAGGTCATTTGTGTATTAAATTAGAATTGATATTAACTAAATGTAGGGGCGTTCTGTGTATAGCAGTTTTTCTTATGTCATACAGTGTAGTTCTAAAAAACAGAGCAAATGAAATGGGAAGTAGGGACTTGGGTTTACATGCCAGTGCTGCTGATGACTCTATTTACTTACCTGTAGAACTTTTGCTCTGTTCTTATTTCATGGCGAAATTAACTAAGTGTCAGCTGTCAGGCATGCTCAACTCATGAAGAGAGGTACTGGAAGTACCAGTGAGGTGCACGTTCATAAATAGCTGTTGTGCAATATGTTCGTATGTGTTTGGATTGCTGCCTCTTACTTAACACCCGAAATAAACAAATTTGAACAACTGAAAGAACAACATTAGAAATTATCATCTTGCCTAATACAAACATGTGTAAGAGAGCCAGAAAGGTGAGAACTACAACTTCTTCCTAATCACATAACTATATGGACAACTGCCTGACATTTCGCCTAATTTACCTGTGGAAATGCCTTTTGAGAGTTAGAGAATTGAGAACTGGTATTACTTCTTAGGTCTTTTTCCTTTCCTAACCCTTGTGATATTGGGGATTTGTCATCTAGTAAAATGGACCTAGTATTTTTCAATCTGCAGATTACTCTAGTTCAAAAGTAAATTAAGATCTCTTGTTTCTTTTTGATTTTCTTCTTTTAAAATATAAATTTGCCTCTCTTTTAGCATGTAAATTTGTTGAATTAACAGTCCTTTGATAATATAATTCCTAATTATCAGCAATAAATATCTTCTTAAAAATAAAAAGTTTGTAATTCTAAATTTATTGACTCTCTCATTCTACTTATATAAGGTTATTATCTCTTTTAGCATGTAAATTTGTTGAATTAACAGTCCTTTGATAATATAATTCCTAATTATCGGCAATAAATATCTTCTTAAAAATAAAAAGTTTGTAATTCTAAATTTATTGACTCTCTCATTCTACTTATATAAGGTTATTAAAAAAATCATTGGTTAATTTCTAAACCAAGCTAAAAGGAAGATATGAATAGGAAATTGAACTCAAAACAACTCAAGACACAAAGCCCTAGTTAGTGATGGATGTGTTCTAACATTTGATTTACCATATTGTAATTATATTACATTTATATCATTTTCCCAATTATATTAAATTTGATTACCAAAAAAAATGTATTCTTATAGCACCATATCATGAGGAAGTGCTCAAAAAAGCAAACTAAATTTTATATGTCAAAGGGACACAGGAGCTATCTGAAAGTAGTCCCAATGGTCAAAGCTAGAATAATTTGAACAATAAAATTAACAACCTAGTATTGGATTATAACATAAAATATTTTTAAAATACCCATGAGTCCATACTGATATAAATAAATGACTGAATAATCAATAAATAGTATGGAATAGACAAATCTCCTATAAAGAAGAATTCCAAATAATTTACATATATACTCTTTCCTTGAGGATATGGAACATAACTCCTTACTTCCTAAGTGTGGGCTGCATAGAGTGACTTCCTTCCACAGAGTACAGTATGGAAAGGGGGGAAATAACTTTTCAGTGGAAAAATCCAACAAACACTACCTCAGCTAGGTGATCAAGGTTAACACCAACAGTGAGACATCATGTTGATAGTATGTATGCTTGATATAATGTGATGAGATGGTCACTTTACCTCTGTGGTATTTCTCCCCAAACCATAACACAGTCTAACCATGAGAAAAACTTCATGTAAACCCAAGTTGAGGAATAGTCTCCAAAATACCTGACCACCTCAAAATTGGTAAGGTCATCAAAAGCAAGGAAAATCTGAGAAACTGCCAATATATAGAGAAGGTTAAGAAGACATGACATCTAAATGTGATGTAGTATCTTGGATGGGATCCTGGAAAAGAAAGGTGACAGTAAGTAAAAGTGAAAGCAATATTAATAAAGTATGCATTTTGGTTAATAATAACATACCAATATTGGTTTATTAGTTGTAACAAATGTACCACAGTAATGTAAGATATTAACAATAAGGGAAATTAGGTGTGGAGTATATGGGAGCTCTGTACTATCTTTGTGACTTTTCTTAAATCTAAAACTTTTCTAAAATAAAAAAATATTTAAAAAAGAAAAACAAAACAAAAAATGTGTTCTGTTGGTTCAGGATTTGACCCAGAGCTATGGTCTTGTGGAATTTCTCAGAGGAGGAAGTATATTGGCTAGTGCCATTCATTTAAATTACTCTATTTTTCCATGATTACAAATTAAGTTGTTCTAATAATGCATAATATAACTTACTATAGCAATTTTGTTTCTTTTGCTGAATAAGTATAGACTCTAATTGTAGAGGAGGAAAATGGCGATATAAGGTCAAAAGACACAACTTCTTAAAATCACTTAGATAAGTTCTTTCTTCTAGAAATTGCAAATTAAGACAGTAGTTCCCATTAGCAAAATTTATAGTACGTTAATTGCAAATACATTCACAAAAAAGGTTATTTTACTTAATATTGGGTCTGTGTTCTATTACTTTTGTTAATAGTAATATAGTATATAAATATCCTCCAGACTGCCTACTTGGAATTTCTGAAAGTGCTGTGTTTTTTAATGGTTCTGTACACATTCTCGTACTGTCCTCTTGACAAATTCTCACTATTAATCACTTTGGCTAATACCTGTATCATCTTCAAGATTCAGTTAATCTGTTATCTCTTCCAGTAATATCTTCCTGACTCCCAATAAGAAATAGGTGAGCTTTCCTTTGCTCTCATTATACCTGGTGTGTGCTTTAATTATATTTGATGAATATCCTTATCACACTATAAGAATTGGTTCTCTCATCTAGTAAACTGAATTAGTAAACTTCACGGAAGAAGACACTTTGTAATTAATCTGTGTGTTCCTAGTGCCTAATGTAGTGCCTGGAACATAGTAAGACCTCAGTAAATTAATGATTAATTAATTGACTGAATAAATTCAACATGGGAGGTGAAAATATGATTGAGTTTTTAAAGGATTAAATCAAATAGTGAATAATACTTTTATAAAAAGTGATTAAAGGAGATTAAGGGGTGCTTAATATTTTGAAATGTCTTTGGGGCAAGCATGTTCTTCTAGAAAATATTCTGGAATAGATCACTGATCTGAGTCAGTATGTTATCTCTAATGTTCTTTCATGGTTTGAAACGCAAACAGTATGTCCTGTCTATAACTTATTTCCTCATTCAAACACAGGACTTGAAAAGTCAGGCTCTTACCAGAAAGAAGGAGGGGCATATGTCTTCCTTGATCCTTATGCTGCTTTGATCCTCATTGCTGTTTCTCCTTGTTTTCTTTAAGTCCTTAGCTTCTTTGAAGCACCCAATACCCCTCCTGGTTGAAGTTATTTACAGACCTGTTTACTCCCCTTTATTCAGTGAAGATTTTAGCACCAAGCTCTCTGCCTCTTGCTATATACATAATTGCTCCTGTAGTTGACTTTGACATGTGTGTAGATAATACTTTCACCAATACCATGTATTAGTTGGGATTAGGTTCAGCTACTCTAATAGACAAACCCCAAATAACAATGGATTAAACAAGATTAAGGTTTATTTCCCTTTTATATAAGAAAAGAAAAAAACTGGAGGTAGACAGTCCTGAGACGATAAACAGCTCTCCAGCTCTTATTTCTGCTCCACTATCTTCAGCATGAGGCTTCTACCTCATGATCCAAGATAGCTGCTGGAATTCCAGCCATTATATGCATATTCTACACAGAAGGAAGGAGAAATGTAAAAAGAAGGGTACATCCCTCTTATTATAAGGAGACTTAACAGAAGTTCCATATAACGTGTTCACTTAATTCTCATTGGAAGAACTTAGTCACATATATCTAGCTACCAGGGAGGCTAGGAAATGTGTCTACATGTATAGAGAGGCAATGTGCCCAGCTAAAAATCAAGGTTCTGTTATTAAGGAGGAAGAGAGAATGAATGTTGAGGGAGACTTCTAATACTCTCTGCTATCTATGACCTTCTTACTCCAGTGATTTTAAGATCTACCTCACCTCATCTACCTACACCCATGGTCATGTCTAAGACACTGGCATTACTAATAACTGCAACACCACTAAGATCTCAATTTCAGGAACTCTACTCTCCGAAACCATCTCTTACCTTTCAGCTCATTCTCTCTGGTACTCCAACTCCAATAGTTCTTTGAATCCACTAGGCCCTCCATCAACTGACTCTGTCTTTACTTCCCAGCTCACCTGGTTTAAAATCCACATTCCAACACTATAATCACACCCTACCATGCACTCTCAACCCCTTTGTTGCCCTCCTCCATATTTGCTAGGCTAAACTTCACTTTGGTTAAGTGCCTGCACCAAAACAGCTAATACCACTATGGTGACTTGGCTAATTCGTAACCACCAAACATAAGTGGACCTTCAGTGCTACCTGCCAATCATAGTCATTTTTTTAGTCAATTCTCTTTCTCACTCTCTTACTTGATTATTTCCCACTTCCTACCTGCTCAAGCCTCAAACACTTCGTCCAGTCTCCTTACAGCTAGTTAGTCACTTTGCTTCTTTTTTTTCTCTAAGAAAATGGAAGCAATCAGAAGACATTCACATCTCTCCATTCGTGGCCCAAAGTTTTTAGTGGGAGCTACTCACATATGCACCCTTTGTTTAGCACATATCAAATTTTGTGGAGTATATTATGAAGCAAATATATTTCACAGGGCCTAGTTTCTTGTACTTTCAGGTTTAGTCTAACTTCTTAAAAGTACACATAAAATGTTGACCTTGCAAAAAAACAGAAAAATTTCCCCAGGCTATAGTCTCTAGTGTAAGATAATGAATTGTAACACAGCAAGGTTGCTGGTTCAAAGACAGAGAAGTTACTGATTGATAAGTAAAGATACTGGGATGCTTTGTACGGAGAAGGAATGTTTGCTAAGATCAAGCTTTCGTTGGTGGATCACTTAAATTGCCTTATGGAATGCCATCTGGCTTGTTTTACTGAATGTTACCAGCCTATATTGTTAAACTATAACCCCACCTATGTTCTCTTCCTATAACTTCCTGGTCTGGAGAATAAATGTGGGAAGAGAACCCCAATTCGTTGTTAATTTCCCAAATGAAAGGAATGCCTCTCTCTTGAGGGTTCTGGGAGATTAACCACTTTGGGGCTTCTCACTGCTCAGAAGAGATGGGCTTTGAGTAATCCTTTGTGGCTCCGTCACCCGGGGAAAAGGGGTTACAAATCCATGGGAGGCAAAGCAACAAAATGTCCCAGAAGGAAAGCAGGTTTTCAGCATAAACCACATTGTTTACATGAACAGTTTAGACATAGCAAACCACTCTTATCAGTTAGGGTGGTAAGAAACCACCCCAAATCTAAGTTCCCAGAGACCACCCATGGGCCAAACCTGCAAGCTGGCCTTTCTACGGATAAGCAGCCACAGGCCTGCAGTTATGCTGTACGTCCTTGAGGGGGAAGTATCTACATAAATTATTTGGAAATGTTTTGTATGAGAAATTTGTTCCCCCATATCCTGGTTGGTTTTGATTGCTTACTTTATTTTTGAAGTATGGGAAGTATTACTATGGGTCTAAGAGTCAGATAACTCCTTTCTGCACAATGCCTTTTTAACAGGGATCTCCAATACTAGTCTCCAGACTCTTGCCTAACCCAGTGTTTCTCAAAATGTAGTCCTTGAACCAGAAATATCAGCATTATCTGGCACTTGATAGAAATTCTCAGGCCCCTCCCCAGACTCACTGAATCAGAAACTCTTGGCACATGGCCTAGCTATCTGTATAATTGAGCTTCTAGGTAATTCTGATGCATGGAAAGTCTGAGAACCAATGATTTCCCTAAAAGGAGAGGTAGACCTCTACCTGCTCTGTCATGCCTCCAACTGATCCTGAGGTCTCCATTGTACTCCTGTATCTTCCAGTACCAACAGTTTTTGACTTGTAAAAATTATGTGGGTAGGAATGAGGAGTAGTGTGGAGCTGGGGTGTGTTTAAACTAGCACCTGTCCCTCCTTCAGGATTTTAAATAAACTAGAGTCTTTTTTTCTCTATTTTCTTGGGCAATTCTTTCATTTGAAGTCTTCTGACTGTAGCTTTTGGCACCAAACTTCCTCATGGGCTTTATTAATTTTATTACTTTAGTAATTTTTAAAACTTTTTATTTTGAAATGATTTCAGTCTTTCTGAAAAGTTGCAAAGATAATAGAGTTCCCATATACCATTTACCCAGGCTCCCTAAAGATAACATTCATATAACACTATGACAATTATCAAAATAAGAAAATTAACATTGATGCAATACTATTAAATAAACAGACTTTATTCAAATCTCACCACTTTTTCCACTAATTTACTTTTTCTATTTTGGGATCGAATTCAGAATTCCATATTGCATTTAGTTGTTACGTCTCCTTAGTCTCCTCCAATCTTTGTCAGTTCCTCAGTCTTCTATTGTCTCTCAGGAACTTGACACTTTCTTAAAAACTAAGATCTATACTTTATTCTGATTCGTTTAGTTTAAACCTAATGTTCTTTTTCTGTCATAGGATCCCATCCAGGATACCATATTACATTTAATCATCACTAGGTGCCTCTAGACTTTCCTTAGTTTTGATGACCTTGACAGTTTTGAGGAGTACTCATTAAGCATTTTAAATGATGTCCTTTAACTTCTGATTGTTTGATATTTTTTCTCATGATGAGGCTGGGGTTATGGGTTTGGGGGAAGAAGATCATAGGGGGAAAGTGCTATTTTCATCATAAAGGGTTTGTGCTATTAATGACATTACTAATGAAATTTTCAGTGAAAGTTTAGTCATAAGTGTCACTATAGATAATAGAGTCCTGGTGGTCTCCTTAGAGATTTCAAGACTGTGAGTTCCTCTCAAGCAGGGGCTGCTTAAGATATGCCCAACTAGTATTAGGCCCTCAATCAAGGTTTGTTGAACTAAATGGACTATACATATCATTTCAAGAAATACTGGTCAAATATTTAATCTGAGCCTCATTTATACAATAGTATGTGATCTATCTTCTGTTCTGCCTACCCTCACAGGGCAATTTTGAGGATCACATGATATAATTTATATGCAAATCCTTTTGGATATGAAAGAATTATGATAAGATATGGGGAAAATTCTGTATCTTTGAATTGGGTCTTTCTTCCTTTGAGAGGGCAAAATGTATCACCTTCACTACTACTTCTCAGCCTGTATAAAAACTATAAGAAATTAAAAATAAAATTAATGATATTTGTTTTAAAAATAATTAAATTGCCTATGGTTGAGTAGCCTTTTTTGTGTATAAACTTGTTTTTGTTTTTGTTTTTAAATTGTAGTATCTGCACTTACCAGTATAATATCTGATACACTCCCTTATCTGAGGACTAAATAGGAAGTGGGTTTTGGGAGCAAGGAGATGGAGTGAGACCTTGCTCTTAGGCACTTGGGGCAGTAACTGATAGCCACCCCCGAGGGGCAACACCAGATGACTGCATGGAGTGGACAGAGTAAGCTCCATACTCCATCCCTTTGTACCAAAAATCCACTCACTATAGCATCCTCAAATAGAGGGCATGCCAGATGTTAAATTGGTAAGAGCAGATACTACACTCGATCTCATCCAAACAGGCTGAGAAGTGATTGTGTATAAACTTGTATCTTTTCTCTTGCTAAAGCTGATTTGTTAATAGTAGTAAATTGTTTTTCTTTTTTTATTTAAGTATGATTTTTATCCAGTAAAACTCACCCTTTTTTTTTTTTTTTTTTTTTTTTCCTTTTTGAGACCGGCTGCACCGCGCTCAGCCAGTGAGCGCTGTGAGCGCACCGGTCATCCCCATATAGGATCTGAACCCGCGGCGGGAGCGCTGCTGCACTCCCAGCGCCACACTCTCCCGAGTGCGCCACGGGCTCGGCCCAAAACTCACCCTTTTTAGTGTACAGTTCAGTGCGTTTTGATAACACCACTAAAATCAAGATACAGAACTGTTCCATAACAGTTGGTGTAGCTACTTCCTACCAGTGTTGCTGCAATATTGGACTGTCTCATCATGAGTCATGCTTGTTTATGATTTAGAGGAATTTATACACCAGACAAGACTGATGGATGGAATCTATAAACCCCTGAATCAAAAGAATTTTGGGTGCTACATAGAAACATTGGCCATTCGTGGTTGGGGGAATGTCAGGGATCAGCTCTGCTTCCAAGGTAATGGTGGAGGTGTTCACATTCTGGTTTTCAGTGGCCTATGTGGCTAAGAAAGGGCAACTTAGAGGAGACAGAGACTTGGTCTAAGAGATGTGAAACCAGAGAAAAAAGAGCTACAAAGATGGAGACAAGGCTGCCAATGACCTTGAAAAAGCATATAAATTCAAGGACATGTTTCAGGTATAAAAATTAGAACACTGTAGATTGGAAGAGACATTTGATCTAAATCAGGAGTCCTGACAAGCACATGCTGTAAGGTGTTGCAGAGGTAGATGTAAGTGTTTCACACCTGTTTTGGGTACACCGACCTGACACTAGAGCAAGTACAGCCTATGTGTGTCCTGGGCTGAGGAAGAGAGAGAAGCTCCATGCTCCACTTTGTCTGTATTTAATACTTCTTCCTGGTTCCTGATTGAAACCAATATGTGTGTATAGGCCCTGTCTTCAGAGATGGCCTTTCTCAGCCTAGACAGAGAAGTGGGGTACAAAGAATATAGAAGCTAACTGGGAGAATATTTAGAACTTCGTCCCCTTTAGAATGAGTACGTTCTCTGTCTACATTCAGAGCAGAGTCAAATTCCTCTCCCTCCACTATGAATTTGGCAATACTAGGATGAGTTAAGTCATGGCAAATTAAACTGGTAAGAAAAACTTCTAGTGAGTACTGCTGGACTTTCTTCTCTTCAAACTTTTGCAGCTTGCTGATGAGTCAGGTGGGATAGGAATGCCATAAGATTAAACCAAGAGAAATTAGACACCAGGGAGTCCTAGGTGGTTTTGATGGGAGGCATAAGGGAGTGGTCACAGAGAGCAAAGGGGCAGTCCCTTTTAACAGGGAACAAACAATCCTCCTCTCTCTGGAAGAGTATGGCTGTCCTGTGGGTGGGAGGGAAATAAAGCATCTGATGCTCATTGCACTGGCCAGATGGGAGCTGATGAGGAAGGAGACTCACCTATGCCTGTATGGTGCAGTCATGACACACTGCACAGGTGAGAACCGAAACAGCTGCTACACCATGTGTCTAAGTTGTGCTGAATTTCACATACTGCGGTCAGTGAATCCACGTTCTTGAGTCACTGTAGACTCCAGAGATACTGTGCCTTCTAGTCCTCTTTCATTTAACGTTGTGACATGAAAAGTAAATATTTTCTTGTCTAGGTACTTTTCTTGAAGTTTAACTTTGCTAATTACTTCCTAACTAATTCCTGTGCTTGTTACTAGTTCTTTGCTAGTTACCTTTCCTAACAAGAACCTAAGACAACTGTGTAGAAAGCAGATATGCATCTCCTGGTTTTCACTACAGGAGGGAGCAGGTGTTCTCTGTGTGCACAGGAAACCCCTAAGGCTGGTGTGTTCAGCTTAGGTCGTACTTACATGTACCACAAAGACAATGCACAACCTGCTAGCAGGGCTATTTCATTGTTGGGTGAGTGAATTAAATCAATACAATCTGCAGTTTTGTTGATCCTTGAATCTGGAATCTGAAACTACCTTGCCCTCATTTTCTGTTCTGTATGAGACCTTTTGCATATTTTACCCATCCTTTACTAGTTTCTGATTATTCATTGTCACCTCAGGCAAGTGTTTCTGGTATTTGTTCAACCTCCTTGTCTTCATGATTTTATGCAAATAAAATCAGAAATATCTGCCCAGATATTTCCCACTTCACCTGCTACACAGTGGTCTATATGTGCATGGAGACATAAGTAGCTATGAGTGAGTCAGTATTGTATTGAGTGTCCTCATGTTTTGTCTTCAAAATAATGCCCTCGCATGGTTTTCTGATGTATCAGACAATGTGTCTCTGATCTGGTGGATCTCCACCATGGCAGGCTCAGCCTGAAACTGGGAAAAATTAAAAGTATCTTTCGTTCCCCATATCACTGAATGCTTGTCCAGCTTTTCTCTGGACTTCTGCAGCTGTATTCTCTATCCTAGTACAAATCTGATTCCTAGGCACAGGCTATACAACCATTCACAGCTCTTGCACAGAACCTGCTTCATATCTAAGGAGAGGACAGACAACCTTGTCCTACATCCCTCCATACATTGGGGACTTCACAGGCCCTCCAGGTTGGCTTCTGCTGTGCTGTGTTATCCAGGGAAACTCTCTCCATGGAAAGTGTTCTGGTCTGAACAACTTTCTTACTACCAGGTTTTACAATGTTAAGTACTTTATCCAACACCACACAGTAAGGGGCTTTATCGTAGTTTGAAATACATTTGTATATGTTCCCAAACTTGATTGCTGTATCTACCATGACACACATTATTTGACCCATTTTATGTATGATGAAACAGAAACTCAGGAAGGACAAATCAATCACTTGCCCACAGACAGTATAGACAGTGCTTGAAGATAGAGCCTGGGAAACTTCCTTTCTCAGTCCAGGGCTCTTTTCACTCTAATAAGTTGCTTCCCATCCTTCAAAGCTGGTTGGATACTGCTGGTAAAACTGTCATTTGTGGAGGTGTGGAAGTATGGAGTCTTTCATAAGCCTGGGACTTTGTGTAAACAGGGCCCGTGGCCAACTTACCTGCACTCAGCTTGTGGGCAAGGTGCTCTGCCAGCCTGTGCCCATCAGCCAGTTGCTCTAAGAGGCCCTGCCCCTGATAGTTGTCATTGTCATTGTGGGTGAGGAGGTCCTTGAGATGCTGAGTGGAAATGAGATGCCTCTTCCCTCTGGTAACATTTGCCTTAACTGTGTCAGGTCTTAGGCTTGATCTTTAATTAGTATATTATATTCCTTAGGATGGGAGAGACAGAAAATTTAGCAATGCAAAGAGCTGAAAATAAATTGTATGGGCTTTTACAGATAGTTCTTAGAATATTCCCAAGAAGTTCCCCAAGCTGAAATTCAGCATATGTTTGGTGACCTGCCTGTGGTCACCAAAGAGAAGGAAGATAAAACAAAGATCTCCATATCAGAAAGTGCTCCTGTTAGATTTCTTGACATTCCCCTCATCTTTTTCTTTTCTAAGCAAAGCCAGGTGTCTTCCTAAATCATCTTTATAAAGATGCCCTGTAAGTTCCTCACTTTGGCCATGGCCATTTCCATATAAAATCACACATAGTGCATTGTGCAGTGACTGGACAAAAAGCAAGACACAGAAGTATGGACAGGTGTAGCTGGTGTTTACTGAAAAAACAAAAGAATAAAATATTGACAGGGTCAAGAAGACAGCATTCTTTTGAATGAAGGATGACGAGCTAAGTCAATCGTGATGCGATTGTGATTACATGTTAAGGAGGGAGTGATTATACAACATTGAGACTATACTAAATGCCACTGAGCTGTTCACTTTAATTTGATTAATTTTATGTTATGTGCAGTTCACCTCAATAAATTATTTGCTTTAAAAAGATAAAAGGAAGATAAGACTGAGTCTATAATTCGCATATTAATATTCTTGTAGAACATTTGAGACACGTGCCTCTTATGTAGATTTCTGCCATTTTTCTGGCTCAAGATCATTCTTTGTTCTTTCAGCGGAGCTGCCCTACTTGAGAGATTGATGCACCTTCCCACCTACCTGCCTCACACAGAGCCCCCTTACCTGAGCTTCTCAGATAGCATTTACTACTCTGCCAGCTCCTCCTGAAGCTCTGGCTTCTCCCCCAGCACGAACTCAAGGATTTCTTTGCAGTCTTCACACTGTGAGATGAGATAGATGCACCTGCCTCAGTGGAAAACAGGACATGCTGCTGTGGTCATAGCTTTCTGGGGATGACCCAGTGTCTACCCAAGGACAAAAGGATCCTACTGCCAAGCTCTACACTGTGATTTCCACATCTTTATTTCTCAACCTCCCAACTACATGGTATTTGATAAAATATAAACATTAAAAATTTAACCCTAAACTCATTTGAAACTAAAAAGAAAAAAAAGGGTAAAAAGTTTTTCTTTAAAATAAAAATCAAACTGCTATAAAAATTACTTTACCCAAAATCTTTATAAATCTATGTAAAAAATAATCTAAATTTGAAAAATCTATGTAAAAACTGCTTTACCCAAAAAGGTCCAACAACCTTCATGAGATTACCTATCTGGCAAATAATATTTAGCCACGTGAACAGGTGCCTTTTTTGTCAAAAATGTAATTTGGATCCAACTGTCTTCTATAAACTGGTGGGTATGCATTACTATCTGAAGACTAAAAACTTAAATTAAAAGCTAGAGGTCTTTTCTGTGTATGTATACTGGTATCTGTTTAGGTGTGTTCATACATATGTACATGTAATATGTTGTGTATTATTCTGTTTTCTATTGCTTATAAAAGAATTCCTGAAACTGGGTAATTTATAAAGAAATAGAATTTATTTCACACATTTCTGGAGGCTGGGAAGCCCACAGCCTAGGGCGCGCATCTGGTGATGGTCTTCTTGATGGTGATTCTACAGTGATACATGGTGTCACTGGCAAGAATGGCCTGAGCAAGAGAGCTAATCTTGTCACTTGCTGTCTTCATAAAGCCATCACAACCACAGCCATGATAATTCGTTACTTCATGAATGGATTAATCAATTCATGAAGGCACTGTCCTCACTATCCAATCACCTCTCAAAGGTACCACATTTCAAATACCATAATTGGATTTCCCACCTTCTTAACACTGTTACAGTGGTGATCAGTTTCCAAAACATGAACTTTTGGGGGACACATTTGACCCATAGCATTGTGTCTACACCGTAAACTCTTGTGTAGTAAACCAAAAATCCCTTAAAAAATTTTTTTCTATTCAGTAATCTGGCTTAGATAAGTGAGCACATATGTAAAACGTATAGCAATTAACCCAAATGTTTTAGTTCATGTGAATATGTAAATATCTCATAAATAAGCTGGTTTTAAATTAGTTGATAAAATTGAAGCTCTATTTACAATATCCAAGAGTTGGAACCAACCTGAATGTCCACTGATCGATCACTGGCTAAAGAAAATGTGGTATATTTATACAATGGAATACTACTCTGCCATAAAAAAAATGAAATCCTACCATTCTCAGCAACATGGATGAACTTGAAGAAAATTATGTTAAATGAAATAAGCAAGGCAGAGAAAGAGAAATACCACATGCCTTTACTCTTAAGATGGAGCTAAAAAAAAATAAAGAAATAAAAAAAGAAAGATACAACAATGAAGAATTTGCTAAACTTTCAAAGGAGAGAATGAAACTGAGGCCATCAGAGGCAGGAAAGGGGGTGGAGAATTAGTGAAAAATTGGTAAAGGGCCACAAAAAAATGATTACATTGCGTGATGTTGAATATACTAATTATCCTGATATAAACATCATATTTGCATGTGGGTATTGATATTCAACTTTTTATCTCACAATTATGTATAATCAATTATGTTTCAATAAAAATAAAATAAAATGTTCTTAATAAAAACAAAAGGAATTGAGAAATACTAAACGTTAATAGGACTTGACTGGGGAAAATATAAAAGAATGGAAGAATCAAGTCGAGGCAGTTTTCTTGCAAAAAAAATTAATTTGTTGATAAAATAAAAATAGAAACATCTTCATAACTGTCAACATACATTTTTGCTTGGGTTTACTAGTCACACACAATTATATTTGTCTATGCCAGATGTTTTAAGGTTATAAAACTATAAACTGACTAAAAGAGAAGTATCTTTCATTATGTAATTCTTTAATAAGTGAGACTAATTTAATATTGTTGGTCTAATGAAAACGACTGTATCTTCTGAGTTATGGACAGGATACTTACAAGTTTAACTCTAAAGTTCTTACTCAGGTGAATACCTGATATTCACAGGCTATAAAATGGTTAACATAGAAATAACTTAAAGTGATGAGTGTCCTTTTCTAATATCTCAACTTTTAAAAGTAATCTAGGTATAATTTTTAAAAATAAATAAATTAGGTAAATGTAAATGGGAGAAATGTCTATAAACGAATTTTTCATGTAATTAAAAATCTTAAAGTTATGTTATGTTAAATTAAACAATAGATACATATTAAATGTCTGAGTCTTTTCAAAATAAGAAAAAAACTGAAATACATATGGGCTTAACATAAATATAAGTTTGATCTTGGCGTTTAAATTTTATTAAAAGACTAAATATATTTGGGTCTATTAATACCCACACAAATTTAAGATTATGGGAAAATATATTTTTAGAAGTATAAAATGGTTGTCACGTATGAAATACTGCTATGTGACAGAAGTTTAAAATTGCTTGCTTCCTAGGTTTTCAATAAAAATTAAGGTTATTAAGAGTTAGAAATCTAATTAATATACATAATTCTGGATAGAAATTATACCAAAAAATAAGATGTTTTTGATGAGAAAAATTATGACAGACATAAAAATGCACTCTTTATTCTAAATAAGAATAATTTTGCATAAATTCAGAGGTTATTTAAGGTTGTTTTAAAAAGTAAATTTAGGAAGAAAATAAAAACAAGATAGAAAGAAGCCAGTCAGTAAGAGAGAAAGAGATGTGAAAGAAGTTATGGGTATGAAGATGTATTTTTGGTAACAAAGGTTAAAGAGAAAGAGAAGAATTTTGTATGAGAAAGAATCTTGTATAATAAATTTTTGTCCTAAAGTAAGATGACTGGTTATTTAGGAAAGGAAGTAAAGGACTAAGCAGTAGGTCTAATGCACGTTGTTGAAGGTCTGAGTAAGCTGTAAAGGGTTGTGAGGAGTAAATTTATGAAAGAAATTTTGTATGTGATTAAGTTGGCTACAATTAAAAGGAAATTACTTGAAAGTCTTTCTAAATATTGAGCTTTAATATTAAAATAAGCAAAGAGTTTGCGTTTTATCAAGATAACTTCCTTGTCTTTATTGATTACTTGGGAAAAGTGAGCTTTGAAAGGGTAGAAGTTTTTTATCCATATGAATTTCTGAATTGCTTTTGAAGCCTTTGATTATCACTCCAGTTAAATAAATGACTATTATGTCACAGTGACTCATGATACTGTTTTGATCCAATATTTTAACTCTTTTGGCATCCTCGACAGGCTTCCCCAATATCAAAATTCTTAAATTACATCTTTAAGATTTTTCAGTTGAGCCCCTGGAGAGCCTCAAAGGATGTATTTCTCATCTTGTAGGAATATTAAATGATTAGGCTCATTTGACTAAATGTATGGGAAATATCATTATAAATACAGCTATTCTAGGTTTTTGTCATCCACAGTTTTGATTTTTTCTAAAGGCATCTGCAATCACATTCATGGAAAAGAATTTGACAAGCACTCTTAAATGGAGAAAATTAACAGTTTGTAGAACTCTAGTAAAAAAGTTGATGGGTCCATAAAACTGCTAATCAAGATAAAGTAGAACAAAAGTTAATTATAGTAGGTTGAATAACTGATAAAGATAATATTTTTGTGAATTTTATTTAAAACACTGTTGGTGGGCCGGCCCGGTGGCGCACTGCTGTTCTTTTTTTTTTCCTTTTTTTTGTCTTTTTTCGTGACCGGCAACGGAGCGCAACCCTCAGTATCGCAACCCTCGGTGTTGCTCCCGCACCTCGCTCAGCCAGTGAGCGGCCGGTCCGTATGTGGGATCCGAACCCTCGGCGGGAGCGCCGCCACGCTTCCCAAGCGGCGCACTGTAGCAGTGCGCCACCGGGCCGGCCCAACACTGTTGGTTCTTTACTTAAATTTTTGTTTTCCAGATTTTAGGAAACTTTCTTTCTTAAGTTATCTACAATTTACAGCAATTTGATAAAATA